GTGTGTGCGTGTGCGTGTGCGTGTGCGTGTGCGTGTGCGTGGGCGTGGACGTGGGCGTGGGCGTGGGCATGGCGTGGGCGTGGGCGTGCGCGTGCGCACGCGCGTGCGCTTGCGCTTGCGCGTGCGCGTGGGCGTGGTGGCGTGCGCTTGCGCGTGCGCGTGCGCGTGCGCGTGCGCGTGCGCGTGCGCGTGCGTGTGGGCGTGGTGGCGTGCGCGTGCGCGTGCGCGTGCACGTGTGCGTGCGTGCGCGTGCGCGTGCGCGTCCGCGTGCGCGTTTTCGTGCGCGAGCGCGTGCGTGTGCGTGTGCGTGTGCGTGTGCGCGTGCGCGTGCGTGTGCGTGTGCGTGTGCGTGTGCGTGTGCGTGTGCGCGTGCGCGTGCGCGTGCGCGTATGTGGTGGCGTGCGCTTGCGCGTGCGCGTGCGCGTGCGCGTGCGCGTGCGCGTGCGCGTGCGTGTGGGCGTGGTGGCGTGCGCGTGCGCGTGCGCGTGCACGTGTGCGTGCGTGCGCGTGCGCGTGCGCGTCCGCGTGCGCGTTTTCGTGCGCGAGCGCGTGCGTGTGCGTGTGCGTGTGCGTGTGCGCGTGCGCGTGCGTGTGCGTGTGCGTGTGCGTGTGCGTGTGCGTGTGCGCGTGCGCGTGCGCGTGCGCGTATGTGTGTGTGTGTGTGTGTGTGCGTGTGCGTGTGTGCGTGCGTGCGTGTGTGTAGGTGTGTTTGTGTGTGTGTGTGTGTGTTTGGTGTGGGGGTGGGGGGGTGTGGTGTGGTGTGGTGTGGTGTGGTGCGGTGCGGTGTGGTGTGGTGTGGTGTGGTGTGGTGTAGTGTGGTGTGTGTGCGTGTGTGTGTGTGTGTGTGTGTGCGTGTGTGCGTGTGTGTGCGTGTGTGTGTGTGTGTGCGTGTGTGCGTGTGTTGCGCAAGCTGTGTGGTGCAAACTATGTGGTGCAAGATGCGTGGTGTGCACTGCCTGTGGTGCAACATGCGTGAGGCCAGCTGTGCGGTGCAGGCCGTGCTGCGCAAGCACCACGGTGCAAGCTACGTGGCATAAGCTATGTGGTGCACACTGTGCGGTCCCATGTGTGTGCTGTAAGCTACGAGGTTCAAAAGCGCACGGAGCCGCAGGAGGCGACGACTGACGCCCACGGGGCGACCACGAGAGGCCCCACGGGGCGGCGACCAAGGCGGCAACGAAGCGGCCACGGGGCGGCCACCTGGCAGAACCCCGAAGAACCCACCCAATTACGCAGGGCAGAAATAAGACGAACCAACAACACACACACACACCCATACCCATAGAGGGGTCGGAGAGGGCTATGGGTGCGTGTTGTCGGATGGGGGTCCCCGCTCGAACGGGAGCGTTCCCCAGGGTCTGACAACCCGCACACACACATACCCATAGCCAGTCCTCCTCCCAGCGACCCCCCTATGGGTATGGGTGTGCGTTGCTCGTTCGTCAGAAATAAGAACCCCTTTGTGCAAGCATCTTTTTGGAGGAGTAGTTATGGTTCAGGGGCGGGTCGACTGTGCGGGCGTTCTCGCTCGAGCATGGGCCACCTCGTCCCTGCCGCTTCGTCGTTGAAAGGCGGGGCTCTCGTGCGAGCGCGGACTTGACCATAGCTCTGGATTGCTGGTGGCCCAACTGCGACAACAACGGCTCCCACCTGATACTTTCTCACAGTTATTCAAGCCCCCGCTCCGCCTGAAAATGTCTCACGACTTCCTCTAGAATCGCGCTCTCGTGCTGGGTTTCATCACAACTTACTCAGGACCCGAACTCTCGCCACTCAAGAATCGCGCTCTCGCATAGGACGTCCTGTGGTTGACCACGAAGGCCGCATACCGAACTGAAGGCCGAAAACCGGCATCCAATCCGAACCATGCGAACCGAACCGCGCCAGCCTCTGGCCTGAACCCGCCGAACAGCACCAGCCGGTCGGGTCTGGCGGGGCAAGCCGGACCGAGCGAAACCGCGAGAGCAGCCCGAGACCCAGCCAGGTCCGCCCCCCGCCG